AGCGCATACGGGATGAAATCCTGGCGATACAGCAACGGAATGACTGCAAGGTATGTACGTACGTAAGGGTGTTTAGCGGGAGAGAGATGGGGGGTGGAAAGGGGTTTGGGGGCTGCGGAAGGGCGGAGGGGGAGGGCGAGGGAGGGAGCAGCGATTATGTTTGCGGGCCGGGAGAGGGAGGTAGCAGTGTAAGCTGGGGGGCCTCTTGGTGTGTATGTGGAAGTGCGGTGTATGGGGCTTTGGGGAGTCGGTGTGGGGTTGAACTGTCTTCCCGGTCTTCCCGGTGGTTCACCGACGCCGGGGGTGGTGGTGGTGGTGGTGGTGGTAACGAGTGGGTCTCCCCTGAGTCGGTCACTCAGCACCCGGGCTGCTGCCTGCCTTCAGCCTTCCTTGCCCTGGGGGGAAAACGGGGAGGGGATGCTGTGTTTCCCACGCCGACCGCCCTGACCCTTCTACGCGGGGTGGGGTGGGGTGGGGGTTTGGGTGGGACTTAGAGTTTCCGGTGTTGCCCCCGGGGAGGGGGGAGGGGGCGCTCGGACGTCGTAACCGGTACCCTCTCTCCCTCTTTGTTGTGCTCTCCTCCCCTCCCCTGGCCCCCTTCCAACCCGCGCCTACACACACACATATACATACATGCATACACACGCACACACGCCCGCCCCGCCTCGCCCCCAGGGCGGTATGATGGAGGAGTGGCACCAGAAGCTGCACAACAACACCTCCCCGGACGACGTGGTGATATGTAGGGCCCTTCTGGACTACATTGCCGGTGGGGAGAGGGGAGGGGCTTGGGGGGTTATTGAGCCGGTGTATAAGATGGTGGGGTTGGTTGACCGGTTAATTGGATGTTCATTCATGGCATTTGGAAAGGCAGGAAAGCTCAGAACCAATCTGGGTTGGGTTGAGGGTCTTATTCCCCACGGGGGGAAGGAGTGTGTGCGTGTCTGTGTGGGGTGTGTGTGTATGAGTGAGGTGTGGGGGTGGGGGGAAGGGAAGCGCGGCGCTTCTCCTCCTCGCCAACTCATTACCCCTAACTTCAGTCGCATCGCACTGCCGCCACCGGACCTCCACCCCCCAATACCGGCCGGGGGGCACAACGGCTCCTCCCCGCATCACCCGCTTCCGCGGGTCCACTGCCCCTCCTCCACCACTGCCTTCCCGCCCTCCCCGCCTTCGCTTTCGGCCCCTCTCCCCCTCCTTGACCCACACCCACACCTACACGCTGACGTCGCGTCGCGTCGTGTATTTAGGACCGACCCCCCCTCTACACACACATAGGACACCACCGTGGGGGCGGGTGGTATACTAGCTGGTACACAGTACGGCAGACATAACCTCTACAAATACACCCTAGGCGCTCGACCAGCAACATCTCGCGAGGCCTTTTCAGCGGCCAGCTATTACAGATGGGGGCAGCGAGTGGGGATAGTGGGAGCCTATTACCCGCCCTGTTACCGACCCAACCGGTAAAACCCCCCTTAGTGACAGGCCACTTCACATCCCTCTTCACGTAACCCCCTCTCCTCCCCCCTCCCCTCCCCTCCCCTCCCTGCACATCTCCTCCTCCCCTGTTTCCCCCCAGCCGGTCTATCCGTCACCGCCTACTGGCGCACCCTGAGCTCCGCGGGCATCACCGCCCAACGTCTGGCCTCGTTCGACCGCCCCATCACCTCCGAGCCGCGGTTCAGCGGGCAGCAGGCGGCGGGCCTTCAGAGGGACCTCACCGCATACCTGCAGGTGGGGCGGAGGAGGGGGGAGGGGGGAGGGCGTGTGGAGGGGATGGATATGTGTATGGATCCTGCTAGCTTGATAGTGTGTGAGAATACGGAGGGGGAAAGGGGCGGAAGAGGAGAAGGGAGGGGGGCCGCCGTACTGAGTATGGCCCTGGTGTTGCGGACCGCGTGTGGTTTGGATGCGGGTGTCTGGGGCTATGTTGGGTTCGCGGTGCGGCGGATTAGAGGTTGCCAACTGTCAACTACCGCCACACCGTCGTTAACTGTCAACTGCTCAATTTGTGGCAGCAGCTGCTGGTCGTTATTGCTGAAGGGACAAATCCAAATCCCTTCTCGTCCCAGTCTACCTCTCGGCTCCGGTGATCCGGCTCCCTCCACCTCAAACCCCGCCCCCTGCCCCACCTCCCCCTACCCCTACCCCACCTCAAACCCCCCGCCCCCTGCCCCACCTCCCCCTACCCCTACCCCTACCCCTACCCCTACCCCACCTCCCCCTACCCCTACCCCACCTCAAACCCCACCTCCTCCTCCCCCACCTCAAACCCCCCTCCCCCTACTCCTACTCTACTTGAAACCCCCCTCTCCCCCCTCCCCTACCCCTACCTCTACCCCTACCCCTACCCCTCAACAGACCCTCCAGGCTGTTCACGGGGGTGATGACCTGGCCTCAGCCATAAACAACGTGCTGGGGTACCAGGAGTCGGATATGAAGGGTGAGGGGGAGGGGCGTGAGGGGGGGGGAGACGAACCACGAACGAGTGAAGCTGCTGCCAGGGCAAGAGTGTACCAGAAGTAGAACTTACCAAAAGGCGTTCTTGAAGTGCGGCGACCTCGGGATGACGTAGTGAAGAAGATGTCGGAAAACTACCTACCTAGCCGCCAAGACTAAAATAAGCGCAGAAGAAAAGCAGTACAGCCAAGCTGTAAGAAGTAAAGGTAGGTGAAGAAGCGGCGGAAAAGTAGTAAAACAACTGCTGACATGAAGCTGGAATAAAGTTTGCCGCCGGCCTGGCCGCGGCATTGACGAACTTTGGCGAAAACTGGCTGATTAGCTGGTAATAAAAAGCTGTCGGTGTGCAAGTGCTCCTCCAAACTCCCCCCAAAAAACGCGCGACCGACCCGACCGACCCGACTATCCTAGTCCGGCTAGCCGACCGACGCAACGCGATATACACCGACAAAGCTCGAACCTTCTGGCCAGGCAGCAGAAGCAGGGGGCAAAGGCACATGCAAGGCAGAGAGGTGGGAAAGTTGTGAGCAGCGAACGATAATGACAAGAACGCATGCGAATGCCGCTGAAAGGGAATATTAAGATGGCAGGCTGGGGAAGCTGGGAATAAGAAGCTCTAAAGAACCTCTGTGGAAGCGGAAGAAAACGAAGGGACTAAAACAGAAGAAATACAAATGCAAAGGCGGCGCAGGACGACGCAGAAGGTGTCGTACGAGAGAAGTGGGGGGCTCAAAACCGGTAAGAGTTCCCATCGTCCGGGTTATCCGACATCTTCAGCCAGGAGGAGATTCGAGCTGTGGATGTTGTGGATCTTTACCTGCCGAACGTTCACTGTTGTCTCGGTCCCCTTAACTTCATTTGCAGGGAAGTGCATTGTCGTACCTGCCGTACCCCACGTCGTCACCCCCACCTTGGAGCGGCACCTGAGGGCCCTTCTGGCGCTGCAACGACACCTGGCCTCCCCCGCGGCGGCGGCGGCGGCGGCGGCTGCAGCAGATACGACATCGCGCGGCAGCGGCACCCCGCCGCCTTCCTCGGTGAGTCGCCTTGTGCTTGTGCCCCTAACACCACATCACCAAATGGGGTGGTTGACCGTTGCGACTAACAGCAATAAATTACAAGAATAACAACAGCAAAATATTAGAATTTCAACAGCGGCAGGCCCCATGGGATCTAGGGGCGGTAAGGCCGGGGGAGTGAGGTGATGAGGTTCTCCCGCAGCAGCAGTAGCAGCAGGAGCGGGAGCAGAAGTATAGCAGTAGCACTAGCAACACTACGTCGGGTACTGAAGACTGTTCGGGTTATTATTTGTTACATTATACTGGAAGTGGGCCATATCTATGTATGTATGTTGTTACAGGGTGGTTAACTTCGCCAGCGGCCCCCTTTCCCGGGGCAGTCCCTGCTCTCCCCTGCTAGAGGGGCACCCTAATCCGTCACCCCATCCGACTTCAGAATGTATTCGTTGGGTTCGGCAACTCACCACCAGCATCCAACCAAATCTAGCGGATCAACGGCGCATCAACTTAGTTCCTGGTCAGCTCGCAAATTGATTTTATCACGTCCTACACCGTCCACAAGATGGGGGACCACCTCCCATTTCAACACTCCTCAAGCACCCGAGGAGCCGGCAGGCGGATTTGAACCCAGGTCGGCCGGGAGCAGAAGTCAGGCCTTAACCTCTGCCAGCCGCCTGCCGTATATGTATGTGCACAGCTTGAACCTGAGTTCCATTCATGTCAGGTTGTTTCAAGGAACAGATTTCCAGGCCCGTACGGCAGTTGCTGCTTGCATTTTGGCTGTTATTACTTTGGGCGTCACCAATTGATGCCTTATGCATGCTTTGTCCTCCCTTCAGTGTACGGCATCTCCCCCTCTTTACGTTGTCGGTTGTGAGTCGTACACGGTCCTTCTCCTCCTGCCTGGGCTTTGCTGAACCTCTCCGCAGGCGGCTGCTGGAGTACGGAACTCCCCGCTGGCGGCGGTGGCGTCTGGCGGCAGTGGCGGCGCCGCCGCTGGTGCCGCTGCGGTACCGGCGGCGCCCACTCAACGGCCCACTGACGTGGCGTCGCTGTACGGTCTATCCGGTGCCGTACGGTTGATGGAGATGGTGGTGGAGGCGCGTCATTGTATCCGGCCGTTCCTGGACGGGGGCGATTCGGCTTGTGGCGGACGGTGAGGGGCGGGGCCGAGGGAGGAGGAAGGGGGAAAGGAAAGGAGGGGGGGGGGAGGGGTGTGTCTGGGCCCGTCTTAGGGCTCCAACCTCCTGCCGCGGCAAGATTCCGAGTACGGAATATCTGTGTATGTCGGTACGGAAGGGAGTTGGGCGCCGTGTTTGTACGTGTGTATGTATCATAGAAAATGAAGGGAGGGAAAGACATATTTTCCAGGACTCCCGAGTACCCCGAGGACTTGTCTGTAGCAAAACCAGGAAAGGTCCCCCCATAGGTTTCAGTCCCACCCTGACCCCCTCACTACCAGAGGTATCAACACTTCCTAGCTTCATCGCCACCATAATTACAACCCACCACGTCTCGAACGAATTTGTCGCCGATGTCGTACGCCGTACAGGTTGGTGGACGTGGCGTTCCTTGACCTGGCGCTGGACAGCGCTCTAAGAACCGCCGTTGAAGCCAACATAGGGCCCGTCAAGAAGACCATCGCCGACGCGACTGCCATATACATCGCTGCGGCGGCGGCCGGGAAGGGAGCCAACGGCGGCGGCGGCGGCAGGGCCAACGGCGCCGCCGGCCGGGTTATTGGTAACGGTAATGGTGGCGGCGGTGGCGGCTCCGTGCTGCCCCTCCGTGGCTCCTTCGCGGCGGCGGCGGCGCTGACCCAGGTGGGGCTGGGGGCGGGGGCGGGGGTGGGGGTGGGTCCGACTTGTAGTGGTGGGAGTGGGAGTGGGTGGGAGGCTACGTCTGACATCATCCCCTCCCTCCCTTTCCCCCTCCTGGTCAGTTCTACGTCTGGTACACTCTTGCACTGGCAGCAGCTTCACTCGCTCGTGGTTCGTCTTTCCCCCCCTATACCCCCTCCCTCCGTCACACACACAAATATGTTGAGCAGGGTAGTGGATATCCGCAATGAGCCCCATCAGGGGCGTGTCTGTGATGTAGGGTGATGTGTTGTACGTCCGTACTCATCGTTAGAGGCTTCCGGTTGGGTGTGTCTCTTACCTTGTGTATCACTGGGCACACAAGGTAAGAGATCCGGGATCCTCCGTTAATCCGGGATCCTCTGCTGCCGGACCTGTCTCACCGTTCCCTTCTTGTCGTACCCTGACCTGCTTCACCCCCTCCCCCGGGTGCCCGGGGGCCCTACAACCCCTCCTGACTCCCGCCCAACCCCTGTGTCCCTCCCTCAGGCCTCCACACCCCACCCAACCTCTAAAGCCCTGCAAGCAAACAAACAAACAATCCTGAATCGGGACAACAAATTATTATCTCATCGCCCTATTTCTATGAAACCCTTATCCAAACGAATTCCACCCGGACACCCCCAACACCCCCAACATGTGCAGTATCTGTCTATCTCTGGTATATCTGCTTCAATTGTCAGTGGTTCGTCTTACCCCCAACACCCAGTTCCCCTTCCCCCGATCTCTTTCCCCGGTGGCCCCGGTGGCCCTGCCCGGGCCGTCCCCTCTCAGGCTCTGGAGGTGGTTCGGCTGGCGGCTGAGAACGCGGCCCTCAGCTGCTGCCCGAATGACGACCTTGTGTACTCCAACAAATGGCTAAGGCTGCTGGTGGCACAAGAGGGTGGGGGGGGGAGGGGAAGGGCCTTGCTGAGAGGGAAGGGGGGGGGGTGCGGGGCGGAGGAAGAGGAGGGGGAATGCGGGGTGGGGGAAGGGGCTCCGAGTCGGGTGGCACTCCCCAACTCCTCCACCGCCTTCCCCATGCCCCTGTGTCTACACAGACCCACGGGACGCTCGTGACCGCATGTTGCAAGCCCTGGCCATTGCGGAGCGGTTGAAGCGCTTCCTGGCGGACCACGGGGCGGCGCTCATAGGCCTTATACAGCCGGCAGCGGAGGCCCTGGCAGACAGACTAAAATTGCAGCCGGTGAGACAGTTCGTGGGCGGGAGAGGGGAGAGGGGGGAGGGGAGAAATGTTTTGGATGTCCACCGCGCGTGTACATTTATACATTGATGTGTTCATGCCTTAGGGATATAACATTGTTTAGTTCTGAAGGCATGGTCGTACCCCGAGGACAGCCCAAGAATTCTCTTCGCGATGTACGCCGTACGGTGCAACGTACGGCACAGGGCAGCAACTGTCTTAACTGCCCACCCGACTCCACCCGGTGGGGAGTGTATTGCATTGCAGGCGGCGGTGAGCGGCGTGGGGGAGGAGGTGGTTCGAGGCAGCAGCGGCGCCCCTCTGGCTCAGCTGCTGGCTTCCCTGGAGCCGGCTCTGCGGCAGGCGACCGGGGGCGGGCCCTGGCAGGTGGGGGGAAGGGGGGAAAGGGGTGGGTTAGGTCGCCCTCATCGGGGGCCGGGCGAGAGGGGAGCCCGGTTTAGGAGCCGGGATGGTGCGAAGGAGGGGCGGATGCATTCCGAGAAGGAAATGTTCCCCCATAGGGGCCAAAACAGCGAACTGTTCAACCGCCGACGGACTGATCGCGACGTCATCCAGAGTGCCGGCACAGCCGAACAGGAGTTGTCCAAAGCGAATGAGGACACCGCCGGGGGGGTGGTGTATCGGAACCTAGTCCAGGAATACATCACTACCTTGTTGCCGCCTTCCGCTGCCTTCCGACCCCGCAGCAAGATGCGATGCTATGGCCCTCCCACCCACCCACCCACCACACCCACCCACCACACCCACCCCGTATGCCATTTTTAACACCCTTTGCCCCTCTCTTCACTGTTGGTTCTATATCCCGCGGCGGGCTGGTCAGATTGTGAGTCGGGGCTCGGGCCGTCCCGTACTTGCCGGACGGTTGCGTGTGGAGGCCCGACTGGCTGCCGTACAGCATGAGGTCATGCGTGAGCCCACCGTACTGCTCGTGGAGGGAATCACGGGTGGGTGGATGGCCATGTAGCTCTAGGGTGTGTGTGGGGGGAGCCGCGGTTGGAGGACCTAGTGTTAATTAGGGGTTCCTCTCCTCCACCTCTCCTCCTCCTGGTGGGGGGTTGGGGGGCACTGGGAACTACTCGTACCCACCAGGGGGCCCAAGTCGTGGGCGGGTAATGCGCCGCTGGGGCCCCCGGTGGGTGGAGCCATAGGTCGTCCAGGAAGGCATCGTACCGTCCACTACCCTGCTGGTGCTGCTGCTGGTGCTGCTGCTGGTGCTGCTGGTGCTGCTGCTGGTGCTGCTGGTGCTGCTGGTGCTGCTGGTGCTGCTGGTGCGCAGATTTGGACACGACTCCCTGAACAACTCCCCGTCCCCTTGAAACCCCGGCCCCCGGCCGGTGTGTGTATATGTATGTGTGTCTGTTTAGGTGCTGAGGAGATTCCCGATGGCTGTGTGGCTGTGCTGGTGGGGGGAGGCGCCTCGGGGCCTGGCTGCCCCGACGTGCTCAGCCACAGCGCTGTGAGGGCCCGCAACATGGGGGTGTTGCTAGCAGGCTGCCACTGCACGGAGGTACATGGGTGGCGGGGCATGTGTGTGTGTCTGGGAAAGGGGGGGACGGAGGCGTCGCACGCGTGCGTGATGGCATGTATGTATGTTTTGGGGATTTCGGGAATTTGGGAACCTGGGAGGGGGGGGGGAAGGGGGAAATTTGGACAGGTTCCATGACTCGTAGGTCCGGTGATTCGTAGGTCCGGTCTGTGTGTCCCAGGGAGCTGAGTTGCCTTCTTACGGGTCTGTCTGTCAGTCTGTATATGCAATGAATGTTGGTTGAGCTCCGAACATGCGAGTGCACCCCTGGGGTAGGGGAACGCAGTAGGGAGGTGAAGCAGTATGTCGTATGCACGGCAGCCTTATCCGCAGACTTCGGCTCTTATTGCTGCGCCTTTAGTTGTCCGACGTGATTCAACCTCTCCCTTTATGCTCTGTGTGTTAATGCGCTTTACGCATGACAGCCATTACACGAAACCAGTACGAGTTCCCCCTCACTCCCCTTCCCCCTCTCCCTCGCACTACCCGCACAGCTGGTGTCGCGAATCAAGTCCCACGGGGGTAGTCGAGTGATGGTGCGACTGGAGGGGGCCGACGTGCAGATCAGCTTCAGTAGCACGGGAGCAGCCGGGGCGGCGTTGACAGCGGGGGATGGCGCTGCTAAGTGACGAGGAGGCAGACGACGGGTGGATTGGGCTTTGAGCATGTCATGGTAGATTTTGGATGTATTCGCAGCTGGAAATATTCTTGGCATCACCCAAGGGTTGGTCCGTTGTGTAGGGACTGCAACACAACGGATTGAGGCCGTCCCCACTCCCGGGGATGCGGTGGAGCAGCGGATGGTGGGGGGGAGGTAGATTGATATGCATAGACGAGGGACGATGATGTGCTGAACAGCAGACGTGGGAACGCATTAGCGGACGCCTCCGCTGTTTCTTTCCGTTGCAACTCGTTGCTCGCGAGGGGGAGGATCTGCGGCCTGTGCTCACCGATTGCGATTGCGTTGCTACCATTGGCTTGGTTGCTGGGTCTGCTGAGGATAAGACACCTTGTTCGACGGATTGGTCGGCAAGGAGGACGTATCTTTGTTATTCGGTAGCTAAAGCTGTTGATTGCTTTTATTGGTTGCTGTAAGTTCAAATAATTTGTATTGACTGCCTGATATTGGTCGTTGGTTTTATTGTGCCGTCCATTCATTCTTGGAAAGCAGTGTCAGAGGCGTGTTCGTATGGCCAGGATGGTGTGCCGTCTGAGATTGTGTGTTTATCCTGCGGACCGCTGTGGCGCTCATTGCTGATGAAGGCGAGGCTGTGTGTGGAGCGTTGCCTTTTGCCACACATGTATACTATGCTATCGTGCGTTGCAGCGTGTTTGTTGCCGTACCAGCGGCTCGCATATACGCCAGGCCGCCTGCTGGAAAGGTGAGCTATGCTGGCCTACCGAATTAAGACTAGCAAAGTGAAGTCAACACCTAAGCCTGTCAAACTGATTGACGTTGTCGCTCTTGTTGAGTTGGATATAGGTTGAATCAACTCGGCCGTCATTTGCCACATCTGCAATATCGTTTTCGTTTATGTTATTGATGTCGTGAGTGACGTGGCGTGATAAACACTTTGAGTATCAGCAAACGTGTGTTGCCGAGTGTGTTTCGGGCGCGGCACAAATCCTGCCCGGTAGAATTTTCACTGAGTCACATGGCTCCAATTGTATTTGCTTGCTGACAACCTTGATCGTTCCTATGCAATATTACAGACACCGATAAATGGTTTCAGGTATGAAGTAGTTAACAGTTAGTATGCACAACAGTATTACTGCGGAGTCGACTATCCACACATGTAAAGACGTTGCCAATAAACACCGCTACATGTCGCTCTCAGACACACAGCAGCAGATCGACAACTCAGACGTCAGTCGTGTTGATATCAGCGCCGCTCATGCCAGCGCTAATATCGGAAGCACAAGCACATTACGCGATGGACGCTGCCGCCCGTGTGAACGCCTCATCCGCAGCCTCAAGTCGTTTGACGTTGGGGTGATTGGCTGCTACCATCTTGAGCTGCCTGCATGGGATCAAGTCACAGAGCCGGCACACCGAACAACGTAATTGTTACTCAACTGCTAACATCAATCAACCCTCTGCACATACACATATGCTTGCGCTAGTTTCCCCATCAGTCATTCCTTCCAAGTGTAAAACCTCTGCCGACCTCGCGCTCCTAGTCCGGGCCGAACAACAAAATCAGCATGGGCGGCCCACGCACCGGTAACACGCAGCGGGGCGTTCTTCTACTCCCCTTCCTGAACACACGTTACAAAGCGGCGTTGCCTCACACTGAAGAGAAAGAGGGCCCTCATAACTCACGTCTGGTAGCGTGCGACGTTCTTGCCTAGGTGCAGCCCAACAGTAATTAGATTGGACAGCGTATCCGGGTCCTTGGAGTCCTTGGAGAACGCCTCCTGTAGATCGTGATCCGCATCCTCCCAGCGCCCCATCTTCATATAGCACACCGCGCGGCCATTGTACAGGGCGGCCTAAAATAGAAAGCGCACGCGACGCAACACAGTGAGGGAAGATGGCGGTTCAGCTTTGGAAGCGAAGATTCCCGAGACGCCAATAGGGCGACGGCATTCCATGCCCCAAAGGGCTGCTAAGCAGCCACGCATACACCGCCATGGCAGGGGCCGAGCACACAGCAGCGTATGCACCAGCATGTTTGGCAAGTAACGAGGCGCCACAAGGCCGTGCCTATGCTTGACTTTAGGTACAGCCCCGTACTTTTAACCCTTAAACATGGCGCAAGCAGACATAGGAATACATAACTTGACTCGTGAACGGAGACGTCCCTATTTCGAGCGAATGGGGCAGCGGGACAAGCCCGCAAAGCAACAAGGCTGAGGCCGTGCCATTCCGAGGCAACATCTCGTGCCAGCGCCTTCCCCAGGCTGGCGAGGTTAAGACCAAGGAGGCGTGCCAAGACATGCGCCCAACTCCTGCCCCCATACTTGGGGAGGAGATAGTCTGCCCACCCTCGATGGACAGACAAAGATGCACAGGGCTACAGTTTGGGTCGTAAGCCGTGCAAACAGATATGCATCTGTACCGTATAGTTATACTTCTCGCCCAGCTCCTGGTATACGTAAGCAGCCTCCTGGACCTTGGCACCGCCCTGTCGAGGTGGACCGATGGTACAATTACAGGGCAATCATTACAGAACAACCAGACCCCACAGCAGCGGATCGCAGACTGGTGGACCTAACCGCAGGAGCTAGCTCAACGCAAAAATCTACAATCAGAACCTTAATCGGCTGCATAGCTTCACTGGCAGATGAAGAGTAAATGGGCATGGCCAATAGGCGCCACGGCATGCTAAGTCATGTGGTTCGTGAAGCGGGCCCAAGGACAATAAAATGACACTTAGATGCAGCGTGGCTTACACACAATGAATCCTGTTGGAGTTGGGAAACGTATGGGTGAAGGGGGCTTTATGCTTTTCACAACATGCTCCCCTGGAAAATGGATGGCACATGGCAGCTGCAGTACTCCCGGGCCCCAACCCCTTGCCGAATGGCCCAGAGCGACACTCACCAGCGCCTGGCCAACCCACGCGGTAGCCAGCTGCGTCAGGGTTGCATCATCGTCGATACCGGACATGGTCTGATATTAAGGCAAGGGGCAAGACAGCGTTACGAAGGGAGGACTTTGGAGCTGCTCGTCCAGCACACTAACGATTGTGCCACTCTTGTCGCACCTTGACCTGCAGCTCCGCCTTATCTGGCCGGTCCATCTTCAGGTACACCTGGACGCAGAGGGCTTGCCTGCAACAGCGCGAGGAATGCCATTTCTAAGACCCCGCAAACGCTTATCCAAAGCGCCGAAACCGAACAATTCTCACAGCTCAAGGTTTGTGCTTCCATGACAGCATTTGAGCGCCTCCGGGTAATTCCCCTCCTGCGCGTGGATCATTCCCGCTACCAGCAACACGGTCGTGTTCCTGTTGCAAGCTGAATCTGACAGCCAGTCTTGAAGAGTTGCCAAGACATCCTCCTGTGTGTAAATAATGCAGTGTTCGTTGTTTAACCAGGGCTCCCCACTGATTATTGAGCAAGGCTTGCCTTCGACTTGCGCCCCGATAAGTACTGCGCCAAGAGTTTCACCGCAAGAAGTCCGGTGGCAGCTGAATCTCGAATTTCATTGATCACCAACTGCAAGCACGAAGCGAAGCCATGTGCTCTGACACTGTAAGGAAATTGCCGCAACGTAGCCAAAAGAGTCCTAAGCTATAAGATGCTCACATCGTAGCTGCCCTGCGCGATGTAGGAACGGTAAACGAAGCAGTCACGCTCAATCGCCTCAGCTTCTGACAAGTCCAGGTCAGCTGCCTCGTTGATCACTGTATTGTAAGCTCCTAGATAAAAGGCATTTCGAACATTGAATAGGAGATCCGCCATCGCTACAGCGGCTTGGCAATCACCAACTAAACGTTTGCCGTTAAAAGTTTGCCTTCCAATGCTACTTACGACTTAATGTGTTAACCAGAAATAACAACATACCCAAACAATAACCGTGTCCCATGAACCATGCCTAAGGGAATTGGCGCAGTACTGTTGCCGTACGTTTAAGGGATGCACCCGTTCACAGAGAGCCTCATTCCGCAACGACCCATCAACTTCACCTTATAGTATACACATGGCCACCCGACGAAACAACTACTTTGTGAGTCAGCACGGCAACTTTTCGTCCTGTAGTAAGGGGCAAGCAGGGGCCAAGCCGATGCGCGATCGTACGTGCCACAAGCCTATGCCAGCTTCGCCAGCCAAAGCCATCGCCACCAAACGCAGGTCTAATTTGTCATTGCCATCAGATTGTAGCACACATGGGTCGATGTCAACACCGCTTCCTGTGAACGGCATTCCTTCCTGCATGGCATCTTCATGGCTCTGCCAGGAAGGGCAGTGACGTCCAGATTGCTGTCATATGTTTTTCGTCGACCTGACGCCTTGCCTTAGTATTGTACCTGCACTGTCCTTCGAGGGATAAGAATCGTCCCACGTGGTGAAACCCCACGAAAGCTGTTCCACACTGATCCTGCAGACCTGCTTGGGAAAAGAACCTACCCCAGCACCCATTAAGCCTGCTTCCGTCTTGTTTCCAACAGCTCCAAGTACTTCGCATGGTGCTTAATGCACGGATGGTTGCTACAGTTGATGCTCTCGCTTCACCATCCTGGTTCGTGGCCGCCCGTCAGCCCTGCCAAACATTGCAAACCAGGGGAACTCCTGATACCCTAAGTACATCGTGAAAATAATAAATTTGGACCACGGTAGATTTGTAAAGACAGAGTTAACGGTCGTCCGTCTGGTTCTCCGGTCGCAGGTTTCTGCATGCAGTTGTGAACCCGTACCACAGTACAAACGGCCTTCAGCATCCAAGCTCATGGTATCGACGAGGCGAATCCATTCACGGTGAACAACATTGTCTTGATCGTAGTTAAACAGGCAGTAAAGCCCTGTTCCTTTACGCCAGCGTCTTGTTAGAAGTTCAACGCTTCTTTTGGATCCATGCATTCCGTGAAAATGCCAAAGTTATATTAGCTCCTTATATAGTAGAACATGCTTTGCATACAGCGAAAGGGTAATTAACAATCTTTATGACCTAGAGATGACCGTGACAAATGGAAATGAACTGAAAGAGCGTCTTGGCAACCACAGTAATTTCATATGTAAAGGACTAACTTACAAGTAGCCTAAATTACGGGCTGACATTACTTTGGAGGGATGAAGCTCGCGGTTCTGCTTGCGACTACTGCGGCGATGCTAGCATGGTGCGGCGTCCAACTCTACCATGTTTTGCAATCCCAGCAATCATGCGAGATGACCTACATGTATGCGAAGTACGCTGCCGTCGAGATGCCACCTGAGACAGCCGGCCTCAAGGTTTCATCATCTGGCCCCAACGGCTCAATAGAGGTTTCCGCAGTCATGATGCATACCGCTGCACCTACCTCGCCACTACCCGACTGGGCAAAGGAATTCTCTACTGTGGCCAATCGGGTTGTGGTTGCCGTGAATAACTTGAGAAACTCCAGATACCGACTATGGCGGTACACGGGCGATGACCAAGGTGAGCTGCGTTGTCCTCTCCCAGTCTCTATCGGTCGAACCTCCCACATTCACAGGACGGGGGTAGATCGTGAGAGTTGACTTGAGTCTGTCTTGGATCAGAGAGGGGGGAGTCCCGGCACGCTTGTAAGCGGCCCTGCACCCACAGGGGCCATGTGGACTCACACGCCGCACGGGGTAATTAATCTACCGAGGCGGCTCCTCATCCACGTAGCTTTGGCAGACAACCTACCCCTGTATTGCGGCCATGCGAACGTGCGCGCGGCGAGCATGACATTGAACGGTGTATCTTACTATAAGCAGCGCCGCCTGACGGTCTCCCCGCTGGCTGGAAAACGTCTTGATTGTTTGCTCGCAGGTCCGCGGCGGGGCAGTGGACTGGCATTGCCGGTGTTGTTCATCCCTGGCAACGGCGGCTCTCATGAGATGGTGCGCGGCGGGACTTGGGATCCACTTGTCGTATGGGGAAGAATGTCTCATGGCTCAATTATAAGCCGCAAGTTCTCAGAGCAAAAATATGTGAGCGCGAAGTCTTGGCCAAGTCGATTGACGAGTTCAGGGACAAGTACATTGACACCGGGGACGGGGACTGCGTAGCTTTGCCCAAGCCGGTAGGTTAGCTTCCCGTCCCGCAACCCATTCATGTGGGACGTCAACGGCATGCCATCCGCCTGCCTGCTAGCTTTCCTGATGGGATGCGCCTAGCCGCCTGCCACTGCCTGGCCCATTATTGCGCGGCCGCTTACCCCGTTTTCTCTTGTCGGTACCTTTTTGTACCGTATTGCTCGCCCATTCGCAGCGCTTTCGTTGATACCTATCCAGGTTCGCTCGCTGGCCTCCGAAACCGCCCGCCGAAGCTCCCGTCTGGGAGTGCGCTTTTTGGACCCGGTGGACGTGATCTGGTACATGTTGGATCTGGAGGGCGAGTGGTCGGCCTTCGACGGTGATATCCTGGTAGGTTGGACAATGGGTAGGTGACCCAAGGCCTTGGACCTGTGTGCAGGCGAGAGGGACCCAGGACTGCCTGACCTTGGGGGCCCCCTCCCTGACCCCCTCCTGTCTCACGCGTTCTGCCTCTTCCTCCCACCACTACTACCTACCGCCGCAGGAGAGACATGTGAAGTTCACGTTAGCGGCAATGAGGCACCTGGCAGCCATCCACAACATAATCACCCCCAGTAGTGGTGGGGCCGCCGACACCAACACCCGCAGCACCACCACCGCGGGCTCGAGCGGAGGGCGCCGGCCTCTGCAGCTGCACCCGGGTCTGGTGGTGGTGGGACATTCTATGGGAGGAGTGGTGGCGGCGGATGCACTGGCGCGAGCGGCAGAGGACCCGGAACTAGGTACGCCCGCCTGGCGGTGTAGGAGCGGCAGGTGGTAGTTGGAGCGGCAGGCGGTAGTTGGAGAGGCAGGTGGTAGTTGGAGCGGCAGGTGGTAGTTGGAGAGGCAGGTGGTAGTTGGAGCGGCAGGTGGTAGTTGCCGGTGGTGTACATGGCATGATTCGGCTGATGGAGTCCATGTGTCGCTGGTGTTGTAGCGCGGCCACACTAGATGGGCCGATAGGTGATGAAGTGGGCGGGGATCTCCTTTCATTGCATTTCGCACAGCTGCCTCCTCAGTTGACCTGCCATAATCGGACAGCTCGCCTTCTGGTCTATACAATGTGAGTTCTTGCGGCCCTTGCGCGCCCGATGGATCCGGATGTAGATTCCAGAACTTCAGGTTTCGGCCAAGAGATTAATGTACGCAGAGTCCGTGACCCGCCACACGAGCGTGTGTGTGGGTGTGTGGGTGTGTGGGTGCTACATATGGGGTCGCCACGTGGGTCGAAAGGCGTTAGGACACTGCGGCGGCTATATACGCCAAGAAGGTCACGAGTCGGGGTGGTGGTGGTTAGGGAATGCCATGGCCTGCTCTGCACTACCTCCTATGGACGCGGCGCATGCAAATCTGGGGTTATTAAAAGGATGCCGCACAGGGACAGAGACCCCACCGCTGGTAAGTGTGAAGGCTACGTGACACGACGACCGAACAGTTAGAAGAAAGCACCTATTCCGCGACACCCGGTGCGCATGGGCGGGGACAGCTCTCCTTTGAGCCCCCCTCTCACACCACGGCCTTCCTTCCATTGCCGCAGGTCCGTCCCTCGCCTCGCTGCTCGTGACGCTAGGCTCGCCCCACGTCCGACCACCTGCACCCGGACACCCGTCCCTCCAACGTTTCTACACGCGGGCAGCCGCCCGACCGCGCCCCGTGGTTCCCGTGGTGGCCATCGCGGGAGGCGCCGCGGACGTCCAGGTAAGTGTGTGCGCGTGCGGGGGTATGCGAGGCAACGAGGCGGCGCCAACGGATGAGATTGTCAGTCTTGTCGTCGTTTGTCAGGCCGTCCTCTGCACGTGTGATAATGACCACCAGCCGTTCGTTTCCGCCTCTGCCGGCAAGCAATGTCTCCACCTCTCCAGTCTGTTCTGTTTGCCGTCCACCGCAGCTATCACTAATTGCCCCTGCCGCCGCCGCCGCAACCATAGCTTGGCGCTGGCACTACCTGTATGCTCTCGTGGGACACTCGTGCCAAGACTGCAACCGCAATGCAAAGGCGCCGGCCTGCTTATCTTCCTGTGCGATGCATTTGGCTGTCTGTACCTTTGGAGACACACACGCACCCATACACACACGTACGCATGCATGTATCAGGTCAGGCACTACTGGTAGAGCACCCACCAATGCCCCCGGGAGATCGCGGGATCGAGACCTGTCAGGGTCGAAAATCCTTCCGATGGTGGAAGGTAAAGTGCCCCTAGTTGATGGACGATGGTGACCTGGGATGACGTTGACTTGCGAGCTGACCAGGAATGGAGTTGAGCCGCCGTCGATCCGGCAGTTTCCGTTGGATGCCGGTGGTGGGTGCGGAGCCTAAGTGGCCCACTGAGAAGTTGACTAGGGCAACCGGATGAGGGTGGCCCGAAATACCGGGGAAGGCAGGGTTTCGCAGGGTAGCGGCCACGGGTGAAGATATGGCCCCCTGTCCCACACATCATAAGGAGAGTCTCCCTTCGCGCACACACGCATACACGGTTGGCCATCTGTATATGCACATGTGTGCGAACGCGCGCCCGTACGCACGTGACACGGCACAGCCGAATCACTTTCACTCTCTCCCTCCCGCACTCGGCCCCTTTCCTTCCCCACCTCCGCAGGTGGCGGCGGCGCTCACCGATCCGGAAGGTCTTGCACCACAGGTGGGCAGGAAGGGCACCGGGCAGGAAACAGATTGCTAATAATGCTCATCTGGAACGGGCGAGCGCACACTACCGGTGACACCCCGGTGACTCCTCTCAGCTGCAGCATGTCGTCCGTGTAGACTGCTACTTACTCGCCGCACCACTGGCGGCGCGGGCCCGCAGCTCCCCTTCACTGTCCTTCCGCAGCGGCTGTTGTCCTGCATGCTTTCACTGTACCAGGGGCTGCCAGGGGCTATATTCCGTTTTCCACCTCTGATTATTGGTGGTTCTTTGTGATGCTCATCTTTTGCTCGCCTTTAGGGCAGCTTCACTGCGGGTTTTGCTGTCGCCACATCCCCTCTCCTTCCGTTGCCGACCCTGTCGTCGCTCTCAGGGCATGTGGCGGCGGCTGGTTCTTTCCGAGCTGCCAGGCGGCTGGTGTCCCTCCCGCCACAACGGTCTGGTGTGGTGCAACCAGCTTGTGGTGGCATTTGGGCAGGCGCTCGTGGAACTGGCACAGGTAAGTGGTATGTATTTATATATGTATGTATGTGTCGGGTGTTGACCCTAGGGGCCCTAGTAGTGTTCCGTAGTAGTAGCTGCAGTGGCCAAGGAGTGGCCAAGGCCGCGTTAACGAGCCGAGAGCACTGAGGTTCACGGCGGACATTGTAAACCTCCAATAGCGCCTTCACGCCGGACAAGCCAGCAGATTGCAGGCAAACAAGAAGCGCGGCAGGCAAAACAGGATGGCAGCAAGGCAGGCAGGCAGGCAGGCAGGCAGGAGGTTGGCAGCGACAAACAGGCGTAGCTGAAGGACAGAGTTCAGAGCTTTCTTCTGCATCATGAAACCATAAATTAGTTAGCTTCGAGTTGCTGTGCGCTGGGTGCCACTCTGCCCAAGGGGGCCCGAAGGCACCGAGATGGTCGCATAGACACGCACCACAATGCAGTGCCTGCGGACCACTCGGTGCAGCCACAAAAGCGACCTCAGGTCGACGCGTTTCCCTTTGAAAACGGTGTAGGATAAGAGCGAAACTGCAAAAGCGTGTAGAAACCGGGGTCAGAGGCAGCGCTGTTAGGAGGCGGTTGGTTGGTTGTAAACATGGAGGGGGCAACTGGAAGTAAGTGCGTAACTATACTAGGACCATACTAGTAGAGAAAAGTGAAGTGCGTCGGGTGGGGACGGTGTAGCTGGGGAATATGTGTGGATGGCGGGGTTCGCGTGCGAATGTCAGAAAGTTAACGTGAACCTCAAGTGTACTGGAGCGTGACACAAGGATAATTCTGGTGAATGTGGTCTGGAATGTGAACCGCATGATTGCAAAGCTTGGCGAACGTGGCACCGTGCATGGAGGCGGGCTTTACATTCCCTTCCGCGTCGGAAAGGAGGGTCAGCTTGTGGGCCACAGCCACCATCTGTTGAGAGCTGATCCAAGCCATGGCCGCATATACCTTCCCTTGTTCGGAAACATCGCATATACTGCAAGAGTGCTTCGGTCCTCGACTTATTTCCCTCCTCTGATCCCCTCCTCTGTCGTACAGCCGTACAGCCGTGAATTCCGCACCCCATTTTGTGACGTCCCTTATGCCGCACCTTTGTAAGGACGCATTACCGGACCTGGCGGCGGTGCGCAATGCAGCGGCTGCAGCGACCACCAGCAGCCGCCGTCTTACCCACGAAGAGGCATCCGACCGCTCCGCCGCCGAAGCCCCGGCCGCCTGGGCGGCCGCACATGGACTGGATGCAGCGCGAATCGTAACGGAAGGCCTTTCTCACGATGATGCCGTCGTACAGCCTCCTAATACGGGGCGCTCCTGGGATTGGGCATTACGGCGGCTTGACCAGCACTTGGCACACCCTGCACAGTCGTACATGGCGGCGGCAACTGTGGCAGCGGCGATGCCGCCGTCGCCTGGCCTACGGCGCCAAACGCGACGGGCTCAGGGTGTGGGGAACGATGGCCACAGCAGCAGAGTTGATGGCAGTGGAGAGGGTACCGGGGGCATCCATGGGACGAAGGTCGACTCGGAGGAGATGCCGGAGCGAGAAAGGAACGATTTGGAGGGCGTGGGCGAAGCAGGGCCCTTGCTCCGGCTGGCTCAGCGGGCATTGACGCCTTCAGCGGACGGCGGGGCGGCCTGTGGTGGCGCCAACTTGGCCTGGTATTTACAGTACGGCGATCCACAGCGGCTGAAGCCGGGCGAGGATGGGCAGGCGACGCTACGTCTGCTGCCGAGTGACTTGGAGGGTGTTCCCGGCTGGGGCCGCATGTACTCCTGGGATCTGACGGACGGAACGGGACCCATGGGTCGGCGCTTGGGTGAGGAGGGTCCCCGAGGCTGGGCAGCCGTTATCTCCGGATCCAACCCCTGTTCAGCGTTCCGAGCCTGGCTCAGTGTCACGGTGGACTATGGCACGGTTACTGGCAGCCCTGCCGCAGCGACGGCGCCAGGTGATCAAGGGAGTAAATTGCAGGAGAAATTGCAGACGGCAGCGCGGCGGGCGCTTCCCGCGCGCAGTCGGTCGGTGCGTCACGACGTGGAGGTGACGGGGTTTGCGGCGCCATTGCCCGCGGTGTCCGCGGCGGGCGGATGGCGAACTCGGCTGCAAAGGTGAGTTGTTGAAGTGGTTTCCTACCTACTGATGCGAGCTGACCGTTCAAGACGACGTATGGGAATGCGGCGGGACAGGAGTGCGGAGGGCCCCTGACTGACTGTGGAGGGCCTCCCCTCCATCTATATATACGGCAGGTTAGGGACTGTTAGGTATGCATTTGGCACTGTAGGTTAAGCACTACTGGTAAGGCACGCGCCATTGCACCCGGGGGATCCCGGGATCGAGACCTGTCAGGGTCGTAAATCCTTCCGATAGTGGAAGGCATAGCGCCCCTAGTTGATAGACGGTGGTGACCTGGGATAAAGTTAACCTGCGAGCTGACCAGGAATGGAGTTGGGCCGCTGTCGACCCGGCAGATTCCGTTGGATGCTGGTGGTGGGTGCGGAACCTGAGCGATCCACTGAGAAGTTGGCTAGGGTGACTAGATGAGGGTGCCCCGGAAGGCTACCGGGGAAGGCAGGATTTCGCCGGGTAGCGGCCACGGGTGAAGATATGCCCCCCTGTCCCACACATTATACGGCGATCGTAGCTTAGTCCGTCTGGATCTGCTCAGATCGCACATTGGCTGCATCTACACACCGACTTACTAAACCTACACTTCCTGGATCAGTCTAGACCTGTCGCCCACCTCCCACCTCCCACCTCCCACCGGGTGTTTGTATCGCCTCAGTGAGTGGCAACTCATCAACCAGGGCCGGGAGTACCAGTCGCGAGGTGGCTGGCTGCTGCTGCTGCCCAACTCGTTGGTGCTACCGCTGCTAGAGCGGACCGGTGGGCCCCCACTACCACTACCGCTACCACTGGCCGCCGCCGCCGCCGCCGCTGGAGGCACACGGAACAGGGAGCAGGAAAACGCTACTGCTGGCGATGGACAGGAGGCCGTGGTGGAAGTGCAGTTGACGGTTTGGTTAGCGGAGCCGTCGTACAAACCCGCATTCAGCTTTGTAGCACAGACGCTGGCACCAGTGGTGAGTGCAGAAATAGAATACAATGCAGGTTGGGGAGACCTGGTGCCCTTCACTACTCGTTCTCGATTTCCTGGTTAATCCTCACCTCCTTTGGCATCAGCTTCGCTCGTTCGTGGTTCGTCATTCCCCCCGCATCGTCTCCTTCAGTACTCACCTTCAGTGCTCTTTCCTTCCCTCGTGACAGTCCGGAAGCGGCTCGGACGTGGCGGGACATACATCGCAACGACATCCGGAGCCTCTACGTTTCTGCCTCCCGGAGGTTCCGATGGGGCGACTGGTGGCCATGGCCGGAAACCTGGGGAAGACCTGGCAGGCACCACCACCACCGTCACGGCCACTACCACCACAGCAGCGCCGGCAGCTGTTGGTCCCGTTAGAAGTGCCGTACTTGACTAGCAGCACGTACGATAACCGGGCCCCTAACCCTGTGGCGGGTATCCTGCGATGGTTGGGGCTGTACAAATACACTGCAGTACGAATAACTCGTCTGGACGCGGATGGGCAACCGGTAGTTGAGCTTCAAAGAAGTGGGAGCAGCAGCGGTGGCAGAGCTTGGGCAGACGCCAGAAGAGCAGATGGCGGTGGCAGCGGCGGTGGCCGCGGCGCCGTGCAGTGTTTCTTCCCGACTGTTGTTCTTGTCGGCGGCGGTAATTGTTCCTCTGGCACCCGCATGGCAAGTCTCTTACGGGTAAGTGGCTAGTCGGGTCGCCAAGTCGAATCACAGGAAGTACATGGTGCCTTATGGTGCTCTGTTGACGAATATTTATTATACCTTATGTCTACAATTGATTTTCCAAAATAGAAAAACCAATGCAGCTTATAAGGCCCAATAGAGACGGGTTGGACTTGAGAGCAGATTCGACTGAGGGGACATTACGCCGAAGAGCCGCATGCAGTGTCTGGTTAGGAGGGGGAGTTCGAGGGCGATGCACAGGAAGCGAATGATGGTATCCGCGGCGGTATCAAGTCGATGCCAAACACAGAAGTCGCATCATGATTGGGGTGACCCTTGCGGGCCCTTGGGGCCCCTGATGCCCCTGATGAGAAGGCCCACACTTATTTTTTGGCTATGAACCCACCATACCGCCTAACCAAACCGCATACACCAAACCCTTTGCAGATCAGCACCAACCGCACCCTTCACAGCCTGGAGCCATGCACGACCGACCCATCAGGCTGTTCTTCCGTGACTGCGATCCTGGATCCAGCCTGCCAATACAAACTGGACCTCGTGCCCTACATGGTGGAGCGCCTGGGCCCCCTCCTGCTAGCCCACGTGGGGCACTTGTGGCTGTGGGCACAGCTGGCGGCGTTGATGGCCGTGGCGGCGGCGGCGGAGGCAGTTTCGAGATCGACGGCAGTGATGGCAGCGATTGCGAGGGAAGCACCAAGGCCTGTGGTGGCGGGGACAGTACCAAGCGGGCCGACTTCAGTAGTGAAGCGGTCGTCCTCGGATTCCGTGAAGGAGCCGGCGGGAGGGCTATCTTTGAGAGGCCGCTGGCGGTTTTGGAGCTGGATCATGATCCCTTGGGATGCTGTTGGCGTACTGCAGGTGCGAGAGCAATGTGTGACTGCAGGATCCGGAGGTGGCTGCATAGTAATGTGTAGGCTGAGGCGCTATGCTGGGGTTGAACTGTGCAGGTCTGGTTGCCAGGGCAAGGCGGAGGGCGGTGGAGAAAGGGGAAGCCCCCTGGTCGGTGATAGTGGTCAACTGCAAGCAAGTTCTCAGGATGGATACTGGGTCCTGTCGATTGGCTTATGTTGCCATTACCGGCCTTGCCTTTTCACTTTTGCGCCATCAGCCCGGGGCTCGCTGTTTGCAATACTTGTGCTCCCTTGCGCTCGCTTTCCCCACTGTTGTTTTGTGCTCGCTTTCCCATTTCCGTTCCCCCCTCAGGTGGGGCTGTTGCACCGCAGGGCCCCGGCACTGTTTCTGATCACCGCTGCTGTGGCCACCGTCGCCACCTCGTTGCTGCTGCACACTCCCTCGTGGCCACAGCCGCATCTGCCTTCCGAGCTGCCGCACAAACTGCAGCCAGCCAACAGTGCCGATGACAACGGTTTTGGTGAGATCTGGAACCTCATCCAGCGCCTAAGCACCCTCACTTGGCCTGCCTTACGGAAGACGGCCCAAGTAGCCGGTCTGTGCCCGCAGCCACACCTGCACAACTGTGGCTGGTCCGCCTTGTCATCACGAGGAATAATGGGCCTGGGACTGCTAGCCCCTCTTGCCGCATCGCTGTCACAGCAGATGCCACTGGGGTTGCAAGGTCTGCTGGCTCCGTTACTGCCGGATCAGCCACTGGTGGTCCTTCCTGAGGCAGCTGCAGGCGAGTTCCTCTCCGTCTTGGACCGGCTGGCCCTGGCGGCCACCTCGACACTGCTGGTCTGGCTGATAGCGGCAATCCTGCAGGGTGCCATTGCAGCGGTGGCGATCCCGGCAGCCTGTGCTGCAGCCTGCTCAAAACTGCTCGTCTGGCTGCTGTACAGCATTCTTTATTGGCCGTTGATGCTCGTCGGACGTCTGCATCGCATTATAAAAGCGCCATTGATGTTCCTCCGACGGCTGGTGCTCTGGCCAAAGGACAGGAGTTGCAGCACTGCTGCTGCTGCCGCCACCACTGCTTGGGAGGCGGCGGTGCGCCGCATGATGATATTGCTAGTGCCGCTGGCGGCCCTCACAGTTCTGTCGGGAGCACCGTCAGCGATCCCCAGTCTGGTGCTGTTGGTGTCCGTCCTCAACCTGGCCATGTCCCTCAGTGTTGGCCAGGTCACACCCCAACCGGGGCCAGCAGCTGCTGCATCGACAGCCATCCAGCTGGAGTCGGCGGCTTCCTTGCAGCTGGCGGAGCGGCGCTGCTATGTGGCGTGGCTGCTGTACTACGCCACGTACGGCACCTGTGCTGCACCGGCGGCTGCAGCGGCCCTGCGGTGTGTGGTGCGGCGGCCGGGTGCTGTGGTTGACCTGTTCTCTGCTGTAGCCGGGGTAATAGCGTGGGTCCTGGAGCGGTGGTGGGAAGGTCAGGGCCCACAGATGGTCCAGTCAGGTGTACGGGGGGCGCATGAATCAATGGTAAGAACTGCAGTAGCAGCACATCCGCATCTCGTCAAGCTTCTCTCCAGGCCAGTGCAGGCGCTGGCGTGGGGCCTAGAGACGATGTATAAAGGGAGGGGCATTGAAGTGCTCCATGATGCACTGCATGGGCCAATGAGCACAGCGGCACCGGCCGTGGTAGCATGGCCTCTCTCAGTTGGAGCAGCGGGGTATGTCTTGGCAGCTGCACATTGCATGCTATTAGCTTCGCAGGCTGCAGCCGGCAGGTGGGCAGGGCATGAACCCCGGAGACTGTGTGCAATCAGTCCGGTGGCATCAGTGCCAGCAGTGGCTGGCTGCTGGCTGTTGGCTCTTGGCTGGTGGCTGGGTTCAGTGGATGCCGCGCATGTGACGGTGGGGTCGATGGCGGCGGCACATTTCATGCTGCTTTTGATGGGTTGGTGATTGGGTTGGTGGGATGTTGTAGTAGCTGGTACACAGTACAGCACACATAACGTCTACAAATACGCGCTCAGTTCTCCACCAGCATCTCGAGAGGCCATAATACCTTCTATAAAAAGTCATGCTACCTTCTAAAGCCCTGCATTGAGCCTCAACATGCATTACCATCCCCAGCCAGCACACCCACACATTACTTGAGCAGAAAAAAATGGTCAATTTAGAGCATCAAATCATAGTATTCCAAAAATCAAGTTTTGCCATAGCAGCTTATATCTTAAAATTAATATTTTAACTTTAGCATAAAAAGTTTTATTAATTTCAAGTATCCTTATTTCAGAAAAATACTTGTGGACAAATGATCCTGAGTTACACGTGATCCCTCTCTTTAAATGTTACGGGGTGGTATAGCTTCACCAGCGGCCCCCTTTCCCGAGGCATTTCCCTGCTCTCCCCTGCTAGAGGGGCACCCTAATCCGTTCACCCCATCCGACTTGAGAATGTATTCGTTGGGTTCAGCAACTCACCACCCGCATTCAACCAAATCTAGCGGATCAACGGCACCTCAACTTAGTTCCTGGTCAGCTCATAAGTTAATATTATCACGTCCTACATCGTCCTTAAGATTGGGGGCCACCTCCCATTTCAGCACATCTCGCACACCCGAGAGGTCGGCAGGCAGTTTTGAACCCGGACATTGCGGGAGCAGAAGTCAGGCCGTAATCTCTGCCAGCCGCCTTAACCTCTGCCAGCCGCCAGCCGCCTCCCCCCGTATGACACCAGCCATTGTGTGCATCGGATCATAATGTAGGCCTTGCTCAATGCTGAAGCTATCCAAGTCCAAAGGTGCACAGTGGTGTGGGCGCTGCCAGGAGGGTGGGGAAGGGGTCCTTGATTCCATTGTGAGCACCAGCGCTTCCAACATGCACTCGTGGAACGCCACCATACCTTCTTAATATCATCTTAATATCATCTTAGTGCTACCCACTTCATATGTTCTTCATAGCTACTTGGTAACATTCTTAATAGGCCGCTTAGTAGGTCACTTAGCACCATACTAACTGCCCTCGAAGCGCTTAGTACTGAATACCAAGTCCTCCAAACAAATATGAAGTAACATTTATCAAGAACTTCAATATTATACCAATCACTGGGTACTTAAGTATTTACGAAGTACTGTAAACAAATACACATGTACTGTGTACACAGTACACATGTAAGAAGTATGATGTGTGAAACAGGGGGGTGTATCTTCGCCCGTGGCAGCAGCTACCCTGCGAAACCCTGCCTTCCCCGGTATTTCGGGGCACCCTCATCCAGTCACCCTAGTCAACTTCTCAGTGGATCGCTCAGGTTCCGCACCCACCACCAGCATCCAACGGAATCTGCCGGGTCGACAGCGGCCCAACTCCATTCCTGGTCGGCTCGCAACTTTATCCCAGGTCACCACCGTCTATCAACCAGGGGCGCAATGCCTTCCACCATCGGAAGGACTTTTGACCCTAATTGGTATCGATCCCGGGATCCCGAGGGCAATGGTCGCGCCTTACCAGTAGTGCCAAACCCTAGCAAGAAATATGTAGCATAGACTATCAAGTACTTCATAAATGTCAACACTACACCAGCTACTGACATACTAAGGTGCTGATCCGACTGCTGTCAGACACACTATCCTAAAAGCACTCGTGTTCACACAATAACATGGATAGTCGGTCGCTATGGTCAGCCTGCACCTGGTGTCATCCTATACCCACACATCTTTTACCTTTAGAAGATCTCAACACTGGGCAGCACCTTTGCCCGCGCCCTCGGCCCTCCACCATTTTCACCCGGCCCCACATCCTCCACCACTGCCGGCAGAGGCACCTCCCACCACCCGCCCAGAGCCAACCCCACTGCCCCCTGGCATTCTAGATGACTGCAATCAGTGCCACCCTATGCTACTTATAGAAATCCGGTTCAGGGACAGTGCCAACTGCATACAACACCACCATGCTAGTGGTGAGGCAGTACTCAGTGTATATATGTACTCAGTATATAATTATACACCTTATACACCCACCGACAAGGCAACAAACGTGTACCAGGAAGAGGCTTCTTGAGCTGAGTTGGCCAGCTCGGCGGCAATCTCCTCATCCATCACGTGCCGCCAGTCGCCTGCATGTGGACCTGAGGTGGCCTTGGCATACGAGTAAGGCTCAGTAAATCCAGCAGAAGTTGCAGCATTGATTGACTCAGCCAGTAACAGTACGACCGGATTCGTCCAGAATTCAATTCAAAATTCAACTCAACAAGGATGTTTGCCTTCCTTAACTTTCGGATGCGAACACTGTCAGTCAGGTGTTGAAGGGGCTGCGATCTTCCTACAAGCTGGGCACCGAGTTCTCAACATTTTTTTGGGCGAGGCCCCGGGCGCGAAGCGCCATTCGGGGGGCCGAGCCCCCCGGGTTCACTGCTGTCAGTCAGTCAGTCAGTCAGTCAGTCAGTCAGTCAGTCAGTCAGTGGCTTACATATCTCGCCCCGCAAAAAATAGCGTTTGAATGCTATATCCATTCTATAACGAAATGCCAAAGGAGACATTCCAGATAAATCGGAGCGCGAAGATAGCTTTCCATGGCTCCGAGTTAAACATAAAGTTACATATCTCGCTCCGCAAAAGATTAAATGTAGAAGCTATATCCATTCTACATCCACCTGCCAAAGGAGAAATTCCAGATAAATCGGAGCGCGAAGATAGCTTTACATGGCTCCGAGTTTGACATAAAGTTACATATCTCGCTCCGCAGAAGATTGAATGTAGAAGCTATATCCATTCTATATCGAAATGCCAAAGGAGACATTCCAGATGAATCGGAGCGCGACAAAGATAGCTTTCCTGTAAGTGGCTGCACCGGGGCCGAGCCCCTTTTCGGCTTTGAAAAGCCGCCCCCCTAGTCCATCAGATTTAGCTCCCTTGGCATCTCCCTGAGTATTATTTGCCTGGTGTTATGATGTTTTTACAGGGTGGTATAGCTTCACCAGCGGCCCCCTTTCCCGAGGCATTTCCCTGCTCTCCCCTGCGAGAGGGGCACCCTAATCCATTCACCCATCCGACTTGAGAATGTATTCGTTGGGTTCAGCAACTCACCACCAGCATCAAACTAAAACTAGAGGATCAACGGCGCCTCAACTTAGTTCCTGGTCAGCTCACAAATTGCTATAATCACGTCCTACACCGTCCACAAGATGGGGGGCCACTTCCAAATCCGACACCCCTCACACACCGAGGGGGCGGCAGGCGAATTTGAACCTGGACCCTCCGGGAGCAAAAGTGGCCTTTACTTCTGTCTTATACAGATGCTACTCCAATGACTTAAGTTCTTCCGTAACATCTATATCGTGCCCAGTATCTTCGCCGGCATTCCCTTTAGTAACAGTCAGCACCAGCTGCCACCACTGTCGATTCTTCAACAGGTTATGAGCCTTGGCAACTATTCCTCGATTGGTTATTTCTTTTCCTAATCAACAATGGTGAAGGACAAACCTGATGAGCCGCTGGACCTCCACAACTCTTCAACGTGGCAAATTCGGTTTAGCGCGATGTGCATGGAGCTTGGGCTTGAGCAGACTTTGCACAACAAGCCGTGCAACGAGGAGCATATTCGACAATCACGGAAGGTCATCAATTTGCTGATTAAGGACGTGAAGGACCTTCATCTGCTGATGGTCACAGGTGCCGTAAATGCAAAGGAGGCTTGGGATGCCTTGGGCTCGATGTTCACTGCAAACAACAACGCCCGCAAGGTGGCTCTACGCCAAGAATTCAGCCATGTTAAGATGGTCGACGGCGAGCCACTTCCGAAGTACTTTGCGTGTGCGAGGCAGCTTCAAATTGACTTATTGGGAGTCGGCCACATGATTAGTGACTCCGAGCTGGCATATATTGTACTTGTTGGTCTACCCAGTCGGTACAGCGTGGTTAGCATCATGGTTATGATGGCGATTTGGACATGGCGAGCATCACCTCAAAGCTTCTGGCTATCGAGACGGCTAACGGTGGGTAGGGCAAGCCTACCGAGCTGACAGCTTTTGTGACTGTCGGCAGTTCGATGTTCTGTGTTTCGAGTTTTGGTTATGGCAGCCAGGGGCCGGCTAGCAACAGCTTGGGAAACAGTCGGAAGCAGATCGTCTGCTACTACTGCAACAAGGCTGGGCACGCATCAAGGACTGCAGGCAGCTTAAAGTGCTGAAGCAGTTGTCCATTTCCGGCAATAGTAAAAGTAAGGGTGGTGGCAGCAGTGGCGGCAGTGGTGCTAGCAGCAGTAAGTCTGGTTCAGGAGGATCAGCCAGGGGACCAGGAGTCCCAAGGCAGGTCACATTCATGGCTTACAATGGTGAGCGTCCGAAGGGATGGTTTCTGGACTCAGCATCAACACATCACATCACCTACCACTGCTCTGAGTTGCTTAACATGCACTTGTTGGAGCTGTGGGAGTGCTTCAACATCATGGGCATCAAGGGTCAAGCTTTGCATCCAACGGTGGTCGGCTCACTCATTATTTGGTCAAACATCAACTACAAAAAGGCCATTTTTTTCAAGAAGGACTACATCAACGAGGAGTCAAGGTCTTGTCAGTTCACATCATCGATGATCATGGTGGTAGTGTTGTCTTCAGTGGCAGACGTGTTGTACACCTTAACCTATAGGCACCGTGATCATTGTGTTGAGGTAATGGTCCTCTCCCAACTCGTGTGGTTGTCGACCAGGGGATTTGGCCCCGGGTCTGTGACTGACTATTGGGGGAGACTTACCCCAGAACTTTATGGGACTACCGATGCATATCCGGTAGCTAAGTGATAGACATTTGGCCAGGGCAACCGCCTGGGTATGCATCCAGATAGTGTTGTCGCAGCATAGGTATATTGCGCAGCTGTTGGAGCGTCATAGGATGATTGACGCCAAGCCGAGGTCTACCCCTTTGCCTCCGGGCTTTAGGTACACTCCTAAGGGGGACGGAGAGGAGCTGCTGGGCAATCCCACCGAGTATAGGGCTTTGGTGGGAGAATTGAACTATCTGGCGACGAACACGCGGCCTGACATTTCATATGCATTGAGCGTTTTGTCCCGGCATATGGCCGCACCCACGAAGACTGCCATGAACTTAGCAACTGGCGTTCTGCGTTACCTGGCGGGGACTCGCGAACTAGGATTGCGTTTTGGGGGTGTTGGCGACGTTGCTATGTCCGGGTACAGTGATTCTGACTGGGCAGGAGACCCAGTTACGCGGCGTTCTACGTCCGGTTACGTATTCACTCTTAATGGGGCTGCGATTAGCTGGAGCAGCCAACTTCAACGTACTGTGGCGGCTTCGTCGGTGGAGGCTGAGTACCAAGCTACAGCGGCGGCTGTTCGTGAGGCTTTGTGGCTTCGCAAGCTGATGGTTGATTTGAGCTTGCCTGAGAGCGCGGTGAAAATCCAGATAGACTCCCAGGGGGCGCTTAGCTTGGGAAACAACCCGATTACGTCTGCTCGGTCGAAGCACATCGACGTGCAGCATCACATAGTGCGTGAGAGGGTGAATAGCGGTGAGGTGCAGTTGGAATATTGCCCTACGGAGTGGATGGTTGCGGATGTACTAACGAAGGCTCTGGGCGAGGTGAAGTTCAAACGTTGCCAAGATGCTATGGGCCTTGTGTGAAGTGTGCAGGTGAACTTGGTACTCGTTGGGATACGGCCCGAGGGGGCGTGTTGAGGAAACGGTCCTCTCCCAACTCGTGTGGTTGTCGACCAGGGGATTTGACCCCGGGTCTGCGCCTGACTAATGGGGAAGACTTACCCCAGAACCTTATAGGGCTACCGATGCATATCCGGTAGCTAAGTGATAGACATTAGGGCACCGTCTGGACGGCGCAGTGAGATCGCGGAATGTACGTGCAGTTAGATCGCGGAATGTATGAGTTTTCCGCTAGCGCCGGT